TTTCTAGATTTCATAGTGTGTTTCTCTGGACTGGATATCGCTACAATTTCAAAAGTAAGCATTCAAATGTGAAAAGTAAAAATGCAGCTTTTGTAAATATTTAATCCTCTCTCCATTTGATGCTTTTATTCATTGCAAGTGCTTGCCCATTGACTATTTCGCCGATTGGAAAATTGTTCAAAGTTGTCGGGTCACGCGCTCTGAAAATTCAGCAAAAGTTTTATGTGTTATTTGTTGATCGAATCGTAGTGGGTGAAATTCCCGTTTTCTGGCTAATCTGCTTGACGTAAACATCTTTTTCGTCCTCGAAAAGCGCGATGTATGTCCCCTACTCTTCGCTCAAAGCGCACGTAAAAACCATGCATGGAAAATGAATTTCGCAAACGTTCTTGACTGACCACTCCAATCAAGTAAGACATACCAACTGATTTTCTTGTCATAAACGCCTCTGTTTTCACTTATTTTGCATTAATTATCTACTTTTCTTTGAAATGTACTACATTTATAAAGAACAGGCTTATTTGGCTGCGTTTAAGACTGCAAATCGCCTTTCCCAGTCAATGACAGTAGACTACGAGTAGTCCCCCATTTTTCCTCAGGTATAGAAGAGCGAGCGAAACGCGAGCGCGCGTGAAAATCACCCCAAGCGAGAAAAGGCGACACGCGCGCTCGCGTTTCGCTCTTCTCTACTGTCCCTGAGGAAAAATGGAGGACTACTCGTAGTCTACCACCGAGCAGTTGAAATAAATACAACACTGAGAACAGGAATGGCAGAAACTGCTCCTCAGCCAACCGCAAGTCCTTATTGCCGGAAACTGATGAAAAAACTTGATAAATCTAGAAAAAAAAATTACTGACTGACATTACACTGGACGTTGAAGGGCAGAGGTTAGCGTCTCATCGATGTGTTTTAGCATCGAGCAGTGAGTTTTTCAACAGCCTATTCACAGACGATATGAAAGAGAAAACGGCGTAAGTCGTGAAACTTGAAGGAATACCAGCTTCAATAATCTTCGATCTTTTATCTTACCTTTACACTGGTGAGATTCAGGTAAGCAAAACTAACGCCGAAGATCTAATCGCGTCGGCGAACTTTCTGCTTCTTCCCCGACTTCAAAACACCGCTTGCGAATTCATGGAACTTCACACGACAGCCTCCAACTTTGAATATATTTTTGAGTAGATCGGAGATAATCAACAAGAACGGGAGCAATATTTCGCCGAACTGTTTCGTCACGTTCGACTGAGCAGCATTTCCCAGCAATATTTATACTTAAAACTCGTGCACGACGAACCGATACATGGCAATCTAGAATGCAGGAAAACAGTCATGGAGGAACTGAGTCGCGTGCCAAGCTAACAGGTCAGGAAAGTTTGTCACAGAAGCCCAGAAAATGCCTCCAAACTCATGAAGATGCTGTCCTCACATGTGGAGGTATGTTTCCCGGTGGACTCGTTCACAATACGACTCTCTCTTATGTACCAGCCGAGCCGACAAAACCTGGTACCAGTTAGCACCCATGCTTTCCAGACGATTCAGACATGGGTTTGCAGCTTGTCAAGGATATTTCTATGCCACTGGTGGGGAGGAGGGAGATTATATTCATTGTAGCTAGTGTCGAACGCTACGACTCATGTACTAATACCTGGAGCTATGTGCAGCCGTTAAATAAAGGAGTCAAACTGATCGGGGCAGCCACCTTACAGGGACTTCTGTGTGTTGTGGGTGGCATTAGAGTGTGGTGATGAACACGGAAGAAGGCGCTGTGACACTGTGCAGAAGTATGATCCTACAACGAATTCTTGGACTCTGCCTGCTCCTTTAAGGAGGAAGGTGAAGATGACTACCGCACAGGTTGTCGAAACGTCAGTCACTGTCAACAGTCCTATTCAGGACTACGTTTACCCGGACGATCAAAATCAACCTACTTTTTAAGTTATATTGACAAATGGTACCCGGTACACGTACTACAGTAGAGGGCCCGATAACTCGAACTCCCCGCTAATTCGACCTAAGTTCAATTTCCTTGGATTTCACTCCACTATCCAGTCATTTTTACTCGGTTAAATCGAACTCGGGTAACTTGAACTCCCCGCTAACTCGACTTAAGTTCAATTTCCTTGGATTTCACTCCACTATCCAGTCATTTTCACTCGGTTAAATCGAACTCGGATAACTCGAATTCCTCGCTAACTCGAACTAAATTTCCTTAGCCTTGATCAAAGAGTCATTGAAATTTACCTCGATAACTCGAATTCTGGTTCTTTTAAGGTGGCTGAATACAGTTTTGCGGGCTGTCAGCGGTAACTCGCGTGACGGCGCGTGTTTTAAATTAGACAAACAAATATGGCGGCGAAAAAAGCAATGGCACAGAGAAGACGATTTCTCAAAATCTACTCAATGAAATTTTGTGATATTTGGCAGAATTTTTACTTCTATCGTATTTTAAATAATGAGAACTTTTAAATGGAAGTTGAAAGACGAAGTTTGTGACACACTTAATAATTACAGTACAAAAAACCCGTCTGTTAAAATTTGGTCAAATAAGTTTCAAATGGTAATGATTAATTATAGTAAGCTGTGTGCAAGTTCATAGGAAAAGCTAATGAGCTAATTTTATGTAAACTGAACAAAGGTGAAATTTTTAGGTTGTATACAATCGTTGATGTTGCCATGGAAACTACGAAAATGTCACATTTTACCTGTCAATCAAAGTCTTTCATCAGTATATTTTTTACTTGCCAAGTTTCAGCTTGTGAGCTGCAACCTTTCTCTTACCACGATTTGGCAAATGACATATACTCGATAACTGACAAAACTGTATTCAGCCACCTTAACTTCGCTTGAATGCCATCCCATTAGCTATTTTGTTGTATAAGGGTAAAAGCACTAAAACTAATGCCCTTTTATATACTTCAACTGGTGAAATCCCTACCTTTTCATATACCTAAAGGCTGAAAAAGGTGCTCCTTTATGACAGGGCCTCTTCGTATAGACCATTCTAGGGAGTCTCTACTGCCTTTATTAACCTTTACATTATAACGTGTTGCTTGTTTATGCCACCTGCAAACAGAGCTTTCTTTTCCACCTACTTGTTTCCTTTTAGCTTTTCTCTCAGTAGGGGGGGGTACTCGAGCAATATTTGAGTACAAGTTAGCCGATGAGAGTTTGAAACCTTACCCTGTACAGGACAAAAACTCCTAAAATACATACCTTGATTAGGACAACATCCTCAATTTTATTACAGTTTATCACCGGCCCTGTTTAGGACAAAGGGCATATATAATGCACTCCGCCTTGTCTTAAAGCCATATATTAGCAATTGCAATAGAGTAAATTCATGTATTTGCGAGCGTTCTAAGTCCTTATACTCCTGGCTTCATGTGTACCAAAATGTTCCACCAGCTTCTGTAATATAAACATCGTTATGAACATTTACAATTAGTGCGCGTAAAAAGCGAAAGAGAATTATACTAGAATTACGCTGGGTCGAGTGATCACTGATTGTCTACCAAAAATACTCTTTTCTTTGGAAAAAAATGCTTTTATAGGTGCGTGTCAGAGAACATGTCGTAAACATGTGACGCTCTCAGCAATTGTGAGGAAGTGAAAAAAAGGGTCGAAAGCAGGCCTTCCAGAAGTATAAGTCGATAAAGGCGTGGTCTCCAGTGGTTGGCGGAGCTTCGCAAAGCACTATGTCGAGCATTCAATCGACTCGTTGTTTACATTGCACAGGCAGGGGCCTTGAAGTCAGGGTTATCGCATATTGGGTTTTCTTACGGGCAAAAGACGTTAAATTTTAAGAACCATGGCATCTTATTGAGAGCTTGACGTAGTACCCAAGCTACGAGGCGTGTCTAACCTCTGGTGATAGGGCCTTTATGTGTACCACTATGATCAGTATTCGGGGGACGCTGCCATTAAAATTATTTTTATTCATGACACCGTTAGAGTGTTACTTGTTTCACTGTATCTAAGCTTGGCAGCTAAAATAAACTCAGTTTCAACTTCTCTCTTAATTTTTAGTCAGCGAAGATTGGAATTTGGAACTGATACAGCAAGAATGGGCGCAGAGTCAAAGCAAAATTATACCAAAGGCCTGAGATTTTGGACGAGCTCAGTTAAAATCGTCGCTTTACATTTTTGCAGCAAAGTTTGGGGCAGCAAAAGATGCGCATAATCAAATGAAGAGCTGAAAGCCTTTCAAAAATCTTTTGTTAACTGAAAGATAACTGTGCACGGCTGGGAGCCCAGGAGAAATGAAATCAACGTGTTTGACTAATTTCTCTACATTAATTATATTTCGCTCACGTCAAATTGGCAAGTTATGCTTCGTTCAATTGTCCTCAACTTTCTACTTCAAAAGAATTGAATAGGGAAACCGACTTTCCATACCGTCGCGGTTTTGCGCCGGCGAGCACATAAAAGGAGAGACGAGCGGTGGCTTTCTCAATTTGGGGCGCTGTTCTCAACTCGAGGCTTCAACCGATCGGGTTTGATCTGTTGAAATTTTCTGCAATTTCCAGTGTTGATTCTTGATTCCAGCATGAACATCTAAACCTTACGATTGGCATGAAAATGTAATTGCTGCGTAGCCTGTTCTTTGCGGAGTTATTGCAGAGTACAATGTGGAAAAGTGAAAAGATGAAAGAATGGCACTCAGTTTTCTCGGTCAAAGATGTCAGGCTCACAGCTGCCACTAGTCTGTAATCTCCTTAGCTCACTGAGACTCCTAGCCGCCCAATCCTAAACACTCTTCAAGTTTAAACTCCAGCAACTCCCAGTAAGCACAATTCGCAACGCTTAGCATTGTCTGCGTTCTTTGATTACAAGCTCTAAAAAAAAACGTTTCAAAGCATGCAGCTCGGATCTTGCAGAAAGCTATCGTTGTAATTTTCGCCTCTCCCTGTAAAATTCAATTAAATTTACTAGGTAATTAAGGATTACATGGCCACGACAAAATCCCAAGAGTTGTTTTCGATTGCAGTGACACCAAACCATGGATGTTAAATTGAACGTCTGTCTTCTGCTGCTGTTGGTGGGAGCTTTGTGTGTGCAGGGATTGAGGCTGCGCCAAGAGTCTAAAAATGAGCCCAGCTTCATAAAGCGTAAGTTTCCATGCCATTCCCAACTTCCCATTTGTTTTCCTAATTGCTCATTCCGGATTGTAACTTAGCAAATGCATTTCATCTTACTGTCAAATAGAATTACCCAGCATTTGTGACATTGACGGCATCTGTATATCAATCACTATTAATTGTTCCGATTTGGTGCCTCCGAGGGTATATTGTCCGGAGTACGATCCCGACTGCCTTCTTGGAACGCAGTGCTGTTGGTATGAATCTTATCCAGTGATTATTTCTGAAATACTCCGCAGTTAATAGTTTGATATTTTGCATTGGAGACAGGACAGGGAATTCTTGAGCGGGGTTACAGCTATATATAATCATACTACAACTACAAAATATTTTCATCAAAGCGCAGCGTCCCCTTTGGGGCCGGAACTTTTCTGCAAACTGAGACCAGACCGTGAAGGAAAATTGACATTCGTGTTTAAGAATATCATGTACAAAATCAGTGGTCTTGCGTGGTATTTTAACTCATGCAAATTGGAATGCTTACCTCAAGCAACAATTGACAACAAACATGAAGAGTGTATTAAGACACTGAGCTTCGTATTTAAATCCATTCTGGGAGCCTGATGCTATTATTATTGTTTCCTCTCTTTTTCAGCTCAGACTGATGAGCGACAAGAATAATGCCAGTTGAATCCTCCAGTGAACTGACTGATTACAATAAGACTTGATAACCTGCAGTGCCAAAAAGTCTGTAGGAAGCAAAATAAAAATAACCGATCGACACAGAAACGGTGTCCTGTAAGTCGTCTCGAGCATGGGAGCTTTACCAGTTTAATCCATTGACACCTGAAACGTCCTAAATCGCCCGTACGGCGACCATACGGCTTGTACCACTTGTGACTTCGCTAACTTTGACCAATGAAAGGGGTTGAGGTAACCTGTTGGTGGCAAAAGGAAAAGAACTTTCAAACTGTACCTAAAAGAGACCGATTGGATAATTCTGACCCTAACTATGCCCCGAATACCTTTGAATTTCAAGTCGAAAATTGAAAGAAAATCTCCCCTTATAACCAGCCCTCCAACACTTCTGGTTATAATTTAAGTGTCCACTCTCCGACACGCTCAGCTCAAGACTTCTACATCACCAACAAGGCGGGAGGAAAGCAAACAGAGGCACCAAAACGAAAAGAGTGGAAGCAACGGGGGTGGGACCCCAAAAGCCTTAAGGGTTGGGCGTTTTTCACGTCCAGAACGATGTCCAAAATTTTGCTTTCTGCCTATGCCCGAAAAAACTTTCATTTTTTTATAAGGAAAGAAGGGTTATGTGTTTTCTGTGACTGTAAGGAGGTTTTGGAGTGGTGTTTATGGTAGTGTCGAGCTCTGTGCCTCTTTATTCACACTTAAGGTGGCCCGAACCTATTTATATGCGTGTTGGTCATGTTTTTGATTTGCGTTTTTCAGAATAAAAGATTCAACAGATTTCTATGATTTTTGGCATCCTTAATAAACAATGGAACTTTAAGAAAATGTTATTTATTTTCTTGTTATTTTAAACCGCATTTTTACGAGAAATGTAAATAACTTCGAAATCCTACGACAGATTTTTCCCTAACTTCAACAAATAGGCCTCAGAGCTCAATAGTTTTACATTTGCAAGTTTGAAGGCAATCGTGACCGTAGAACTCGCTGCACAAAATGCTGGTCAAATTTAACCTTAAAATGCTACGCTAACACATCTGTGAAAGTTGACACACGAATAGAGGTAGAGTGCCGACAGACTATCTCCTATCTGAAAGGATGTTCCTACCTAAAGCTTTATTGCAAGAAACAGAGTAATCAGAAACCTAAGGCGAACATAGTTAGCACTACAAGAAGAACAACTTTATGCTGAGTGCGCGGTAATATTAAAGAACTTCTATTCATCAAACTTAAGTTGTATTTGTCCCATTCTTTTGTAAAGAAATCTTAACAAAGCAAAATATAGCGTCTACGAAAAACTGTCAAGATTGGTTTTTTTTTTACGGGATAAGTGAACTTTTGAAGAGCGATGGCACTCGATTGAGTGATTGACATAGTGCCCCAGCTTCGAGGCGTGCCCAAGTTCTCGTGACAACGCCTTTATCTGTACCCCTATGATCAGTCTGCTGCGACCATTTATTTTATTTAAAACTACTTAAAGTTATGCCAACGGTAACTGATATTATGGACGAGTTCATTTAATAACGTGCATGGCCTGTCATTTGGGCGGGATTTTTTGGGGCTGTAAATCTGCGCATAAACAGAGAGCCGAAAGCCTATTACGAACCTTTTGTTAACTGAAGAATAAACTGTGTGCGGCTGGGAGACCATGGTTCATCTTTCTGTTAACAAAAACAATGAATAAATATTTTATTAACGAGTCAAATCATAGATTAGAAAGTTGGTTGGAGGGAACTTCAGCTGAACGGTGACATCTGAAAAGTAGCTTATGAAGCAGTCTTTTTCTCGACTCAAGAAAGGTTCGGTAATCTGACAGTTCTAAACGACCTAAACAGCCACAAAGAGAAAACAGCTCAATTTGCCCCTCCTTCCCCTCCCCCCACTTCAAAAGGGGTGGTCTCCGAGCCCTGCACTTGAAAAACTGCTCCGCGGGCCCTGGGAAATGCCATGATGGCGCAAGTTGCCTTTCTGTCTCTCGTGCGCGATTTTCCAAAAAACTTTGCCAGAATTATTGTACAAAAATCGATGTTCAAAACTTAAGTGAGTGGAATAACGTGGGCTCGCGGTTTCACTCGAATTTTTGAACATTTTGATGCATTCTATAGTCGGTAAATGGTAGGAAAATTTTTGTCTGTTTGTTTTTCTTTAGTGTCAAACTTGCATTTCCGTCGAAGTTTCAAGTAAAAATGAGGCGCGAGAGCGACTGAAACCCCGGCGCCTGTCAAAAACCCCGAAGTTAGAGCGATTTTCGTATGACCTTGAAATGAAAACGAGGAAACAAAAGAGAAACAACAAATGAACGGAAAGAAAGCAATTTGATTGGTTTATCGAACGGATACAAAGGCGCGAGGCTTTTGGTTGGTTAAGCGAAAGCTCAAGTGAAAAAACTTCATGCCCCAAGAACTTTCTAGAAATCAATCGATACTTCGCTTTGACATCATACTGCAACACGATTGGCCAATCGAACAATGCCTCCTCCATATTAGGGTTTTCTTTGGCGGGAAAACGAAGAGTCCATGTTTTGATCTTTTCATCCATTGGCTGATAAAACAAATAACGAACACTTACTGAAACCATTTTTCAAGGACATAATTATGAAAATCGCTCTACCATAGGAAGAGGGTCTGAATGGGGGGGTTTACTTGTCGGTTAAAATTCGGTAACTTTGTCGGTAGTCGGTTAAAATTTTCGATCTTTGTCGATAGTCGCTTAAACATTTCGATTTTTATCGGCCGTCGGAAAATCTCAGTGAATAAGTAAAAACGCTTGTTGATTATTAATATTTTTATGTATTTCACCCACTTTCCAAGACTTTGATCCCTAAGGAAAAAGTAAAACTTGTAAGAATGCATCATTTGATTGCACTTAAACTTCATTAACAGTCTTGTTTGTTTATGCAACATGATCGTTTATTTCACCATTGTTTGCCAAATGAATATGATGAGTACTCAAAAAATCACCAAAGCTTTTATTGTAAATGTGAACTTGGTTTCCCGGTAGACTACAGGGCAGAGTAAAAAGTAATCAATGGACTCTTTTTGACTAGCCTTTTGGATACTTCAATTATTTTTAGTGAAAAACTGCACATCTATCCCTCTTATGCTTTGGCTCTAACAAGCATGTCCTTTGCCATAATTTTCCTTTCTCAGAGATATAGCACTTTAGGTGGTTCTTTAAAATTTTGTCAAGGTGGTGGTTGGTTTCGTATGAGATTCCACTTTTCATTAAAGCTTCTTTTATAATAGACACTAAGGGCTGGTATTGTGTCACGAAAGGCAATATTTCTTTTCTTCCTTGTTGTTTTGTTTCAGGAGAGCTGCCTTTCTTTCTGTGAGTTTTACTTCTAATAGCAACTTTTCTTTCAAAATTGTGTGGCTAGCCTCTGTCCATCAAGTTCTTTTGAAATATCTGAAATACTTAGTCCTCAGAGGAGTTTGTTCGTAGGATTCTCAAGGCTTCTCGTTTGTGCAACAAGCGCTTTTAATTAACAATTGGTGGATGATAAGAGGTGAAAATGTATATACTGTAAGGTTTCCGTTTAAAATGCGTCTTTACATCAAGGATAGCTTTTTGTCATTTTTCGTTGAATGTTGTGCCTTGGTATACTACTAGCTGTTTCTGAAAAGAATGTCTCATTTTCAGATATTTTGGCTGTGAATTTCATAGTAGGGTGATGAAAGTTTACTTGTTCCGCGAAGAAAGCTACGATGTCTGGTTTACTAATGTCCCATAAAGGGAAAAAATGTCATTGTCATCTATCTAGCGTTTTCAAACAGTTGGTTTAATGGGTTCAGTTAAAGACGGTTTTTGCTTAATTAAACTTTGTGTTTCAACATATGCCATGAAAATGTTGGAAAGGAAACTGCTGTCTTTGTGCCCATCGCGGTACCGTGGGTCTGTACTGATAGTGCTTTCCATTAAACGGGAAAGAATTTTCTTTGAGGATTAATCTAAGCATTTCTCGGACCGAAACAAGAAACGTTCGGTTTTTTCACCTTTGTTGTTTCAATAAAATTTATAAAGTCGGTAGCATCTTTAAGGTGTGACTTTGCGATTTTGATATTTTTTTTCATTGGCTGTAGCAATGTACCTGTATTAAAAAAAAGGAAATTCTTTCCGTTAGGCCATCTGATGAGTCATAAATTTAAAGAGGTTACTTCCTTCCTAGAAAAAAAATGCAAAATGCTCTTTTTTCTGGAAACAAATATTGATAATATCAGCCCATGTCGGTAATCGGTTATATTTTTCCTGTCGGTAGTCGGTAATTTTTTAATCATTTTGTCGGTAGTCAGCAATATTTTTCGCCCTTTGTCGCTAGTCGGTTAACCCCATTCACACCCTCTAGGAATGTTTGTTTTCGCCAGAAATTCAAAGAACATCTATGATTAACTTTGAAATAATTAAACCCAAATTGCCCTGTGCAAATTTCTGGTCCAAATTGTTAAATACAGAAATGGCATCGCAGAACTGTACTGCGTACAGGGTTTAGGAATTATCTAAGAACTGTCCTTCGTCAAGCCCACAACTAAAACCAACTTTATATGGAACCACAAACCACC